TTCCCCCAGCCCCTGCTGCGCCGAGGAAAGCCTCTGGGGCTCTTTTTTTTTTTTTTAAGGGAAAAAAAGCTGTTTGTAGGTGGTGTTGGTTTAGGGAGGAGCCCATCTGCTGGGTATGGGGACAAGGCTACACCTTCAAGGTGAAGGCTGTGAACAGGCCCTGCCCTGCCAGCAACTCTATACATTGAATTTCCAAGCTCAAGCGCTCCCCACGGACAGGCTCTCTGAGCTAGAAATAAAAGTGCGGATGTCCCGCCTTCACTGGGTCCCAACCCCTCCATCGACACCAAGGCTAGGAGAGGGGATGGGAGTAAGAAATCCTCCCCTGTTAAAAGCTCCTCCGGACAATCCATATAAGCATATGAATCTCAGCACTTCTGGTGACCTTCAAACAAAAAGCAGCCCCCCTCTGTAGCAGCAGGGCCGTGATATCTGCATTTGAACAGCGTCCTGGCTGCAGCCCCGGCTTCGGAGTAAACAGAGTTACCAGGAAACAGCAAATTCCTTTTCTGCAAAGGAAGCCGAGGGGGCCGAAAGTCTCCGGACAAAGGGAAAGGTGAAGACGTGCCACAGGGAGGACGGGGCTCCTCTGTGGACCTGTTTTCCCTCCTTGCCTTTTAAAGGTCATCCCTCGGCAGCGTTAATCCTGCGTGTTTGCTGGATGCTGCCTGCCCTGACAAACCAGGATGTGTTGGCAGCCCGGGATCTCCAGGTTGGCTCTCAAAGAGGGGGGAAAAAAAAAAAAAAAACCAACCCAACACCCCCCCCCCCCCCCCCCCCCCCCGCCCCCCCCCCCCCCTTTTGGCTCGCGAAAACCCATTGCACCCCAGCTCCCACACCCACGGGGCAGCTCTATCACCTGCCGACAACCGCCAACAGCCTCCCTTCCCTCCACCCTCGTGGGCACGAACCGAGCCCCGGCTCACGCGTTTGCCTTCCTGCCTGGGTTTTACATCGGGAGGAATTGGGCGTGCACAGGCAGGCGCTGCCTAGATCACACTTGGAGAGTCCTCCACTCCCGTCCCACATCCGCAGGGATGGTTTGCTGTGGCTCTAACGTCCAACTCCTGCTGCCCTCCCACCTACGTACCGTGCTGCTGGTCGTCCCCGTGGTCACTGCCTGCTGGAAATGCGCGGCCAGCCCGGCTTTGTCCTTGCATTGCTCTTTGCACTCCAGGCACCTGAAGCAGCTGTAGTTGGTCTGCTCCGAGCTGTTGCTCAGAGGCAGGATGGGGAGGTCCTGAGCCCCGTTGGCCGTGACCAAGGCGTCCTGAGCCACGCCAGTCACTTTGCTAGCGGGGAAGGAGGTCACCGAGACCAGGGGGGTGATGTCCGGCTGTCCGATCATTTGATCCAAAGCGATCGGCCTCATGACCAAATGGGAGCACTGCATCACCAGGCCTTTGTCCTTGTGCTCCCGGGCGTGCAGCAGCAAGCTGCACTTGTTGAAGAAGACGAGGCGTTTGGTGCAGTGGTTGCAGGTTACCTCGATGCGCATGCTCCGCCGGTCGTAGTGGCGAGCCAAGCTCTTCTCCAGGGCGAAGGAGTCCCCGCACTCCAGGCAGCGGTAACCGAAGGGAGGCAGGGTGAGGCTCGCGTCGGCCGGAGGATTCAGGTTGGGTTTGTAGGTCGGCAAGAGGTTTTTACTGTTGAGGATCTTGTTAAAGGCTTCCACGAGGCTGGACTGGCTCCTGGAAATGACCGTGCCCGCGATGGTAGGGGAAGGCTTCTGCGGCTGCACCATCACAACTGTGGTGCCGTTGACTTTCTGGTTGGCTGTGGTGGTGATGGTGGTGGTCTGTGTCACGGTGCTGATGTTGGTCCTGGTGTCGGCTTTGGGCAGGGTCTGCGGCACCAGATTGATGATGTTCTTGGCCACGGCTTTACCCGTCTTTGCCGGCAGCACCACGGATTTTTGCTGAGCCACGCTGGCAGCGATCAGCATGGCACTGCTGGCATTCTGGATGGTGGAGACAGGCAGGACAGTCCCTTTGAGCTTGGTGCCGTTGCCAAGCTGAACACTGACGATTTTTGGCCCCTCGATGGTTTTCAAGGGGCTGGAGAGCTCCATTTTCTCCTTGGGCACCTCCAGCGCAATCCCGTCCTCTTTCTCTGCCGATGTTGAGAAGCTGGCACCCTCAAGAGAGGTCTCCTGAGAGCCGTGCTCAGCCGGCCCCTTGGTGGAGCCCGGCTCTGAATCTGATGAGACCCTGGTCACTGTCCGGGTGATGCTGCCACAAGATGTTTTGATGGTTTTAATCCGCACTTTCAGGGGCCGCGAGGAATTGGAAGAAGGAGAATCATTGTTGTTGTCATCTTCCTCCTCATCATCCTCAGCGCTGGACATACTCTGCGGACTTCCCATTGACTTCTCCAGAACTTCTTGCTCTTCCTTGAGGGCGATGTTGTCCAGCTGCTTTGGAGAAGTGGGGAGTCTGGGGCTTTGCACCACCGGTGAGGAAGGCTTGAAGAACGGCTCCTGGGGGCTGGCGGGCGAGCGTTTCACTTCAGGAAGGTTGCTGGTGCTGCTGTCGAGGTTTGGGTCAGAACCAGCCCAGGACGTGATGGGAGAATCATCCGTGGAGTAGCGAACGGTGACCGATTTCAGGTGATCCAAGGGACTGTCACCCAAGGCTGCAGCCAAACCCTTCGGGCTGGCTTCACGGCCCACCTCCTCAGAGTCAGACTCCTCTTTTTTGATGCAGGGGATGGTAGGAGGGGACCCGTTCGCACCCCCTGCCTGGCCTGTTTCGAAGGACTGCGGGAAAGCTGGGGGCAGGTTCTCCGTGCTCTCTCCCATGGGCTCTTTGCAGTCCAGCGACGGGGTGGGAGATGGGGAGAGGGAGGGCACAGCAAGGGATTTCTCTTTCGGCTTACACTCCCGGGGCCTGTCAATCAGGTTGGCAGCATTGTCTTCGTTGGGATCAGGGCTAAAATGGGAGAAGATATCCAGGGGTTTGGGGCCTTTTTCCTTCACCCAACACTCCCCGTTGGAGGATGCCACAGCTTCCACAGACCTGGAGGTGGGGG